AAAATTGAATTATGTATGCACTTAGATAATTATGTAACCAAAGGTGTCATGCAACTCTGCGCTCTAAACCGCATTTATCTATTTCTGACTCTCAGATTCAATTTACTTTTTGTGCACCCGTATGAATTAATATTATTCTTAACACACATCACATTTTCCACTCAACTCCACTGAGGCTCATCATGTGGAAATGTTTGAGCTTAAATGGACTGGCTTGAGTGAGTCACACAACCAAACATATGTTTCATTTTTAAGAGAAGCCTGTTCCTATAATGACGGTGGTAAAATCCACACTGATAAAGAGTTATACATAAGAAAACATCAAGTTAACGAAAGAAATCCTGGATTGGATAAATTTAAAAGGATATCAAAATGTAAAAAACAGCTACTCTCGCTCAGTTTGCCAAATCTACATGCTGTGGGAGGAAGCTGGAATACCTGGGAAGAAGGCATGAGACAAAATCTTTCTTCTTGTTATCACGATGACTGATACATAGCTGACTCCTGGCTAGTATCAAATGGCATGTTCTGACCTTCTCAATCAGATCCTTCATTTCCATTTCCCTTTTTAAAAATCTAATTCGTGATGCCAAACGGTTTGCCCCAAAGCATTTTGTAAAGACTCTTTATATTAGAATGCATTGATCTCAAATATGATGATAAATGGTTAAATAAGAAAAAAAAGATTAAATAGTAATTAGTCAATGTGCATAGAATGGATATCATTTGTGTCTCTTTAATTTCACATGGGTTTGAAATGGTTAATATCCTTATTATCTTACACAAGCTTCCTGCAAGCCAAGGTTTATGGTAACTGAGAGCTTTTGGCTTGGTCTGGATAATGAAAGGTGTTAAAACCGAATCTGATTTATTGCTTTATTAAACAACATTTGACTATTGTGTCCTTAGGTGCTGGATCAGAACACTGAATTGTCTGCTGTTTGGTAATAAATCAAAGTGCACAGCTGAACATTGTGCGTGGTTTTCAGAAATGCGTTAAACATAAAAGAACAACATGTTCTCATGGTTGTGCATTTGTGTCCTGCAAAAGAGAACAATCCCAAAACTCGCTCTTGTGGTTCTTACTATGCGACAGCTTCACGTGGTTGTCATAAAAACTAAATATCCACCTGTCTTTCTTGGATGCACTTTCTGGGAAGTTAATGGATGTTGTTGATGACTAGCGTGCTTTGACCCGACCAAAGAATTCAAGAGGACCGTGAGCACACAGCTGCAGGTGGTAAAACTGTCCAAATTGTCTTTTCGTAGGGGGGTATGAATTTTTTCGAAGTATGTATTTATGTCGGACTCACACTGATATACAGAAAACACATTTAGACAATGGAGCCTTGAGTTTTGGAGAATGATGAGAACCTTTCACATTATGATTCACTGTCCTCAAAATCATGTGAGGCAAAAACACTCAGCTTCCCAAATCCCACAATTTACATTTATACTAAGCTTCAATAGAAGCCAAAAGCTGTACATTTAAACCAGTAGGAATTATGCTGTAATGGAAAAATGTAATTTTACGCAATATTAGTTTAACATCAGTAATACAGACATCACCTCATAAAACTCTTTTTAAAAGTCGTGCAGGCAAGAATTTAACCTCACATTTGAGTTTTCTGAAAAAAATGCACATATGAATTCTTAAGCACATGTCATAATTTTTCATGCAGTCACAGGTGTCATTCCTACATGATTTAGACAGACCTTTAATCCACTAACGCAGAAAAGAAAATCTAGGAGAAGCTTGCTCGTCCCATATTGCTCAGTGAATTATGGGCTTGGCTGTGGTCCAGGAAATTCCCCATTTGTTGCACATTCTGTCACACTGAGCATTTAAAAAATTGTTGGCTTGCAAATATCTATGTAGTACTTTGCTATTGTGTCATATACTTTATTCAAATATTTGGCTGGTGGCAAACTCCAAAAGAGGAGATATTTTTCTCTTTCTCTGTAGAGAAAGATTTGTGGGACCATAAAATGGTACTATTTTTCATCAGACTCTAGATCGCATTTAATCCACATGTTATTTTTATTACGTTTTGTGCAATTACCTAAATTGGTGCCAAAAATGTGTAGTTATGGGCAAATGTGAAGTAATTCAAAACACAAGGACATTATAAAATCTATATCCTCATAAGACAGAAATATTCTGGTCAGCCTCAAAGACAACATGTGTGATTGAATATACAATCCCCCCTATAGAAATGAATCATAGTAATCATATCTGAATTTTAAGTAGTGTACAAATTCATAGAAAATATGTTCTGCCTCACATTGTAATTAAAAAAAAATCGCTAAGTGCAAGTTATTTGACTTAAATCAAGTTGTTTCAGCTTACTTACCTTGTGGTGAATACCTTTTAAAACCTATTATTGTGAGTGCAGTTTGGGGTTGGTGATACATGTTAAGTTATATTTATTTTTCAGTTTGCACCACTGGATAGCACCATAGCTTACATATTGGATATTTTAACAAGGCAGATGGTGATACATCTCCAGTGACAGCGCTACACAGATGTTGACTGACCCACACATCTGATTATTGGCGCTTTAAGTGTGGTCATGTCACATGGTTTTATCACCACACAAACAATAGTTTTTTCTCTGAGTTTATCTGAGTTCTTTCACCTTCCCTGAACTCTTGTCTGTGGTTTCACAAGTGATCTCTTGGTCTTTTTTGCTTCTTCGTTCCAAATTGATCTATGATCTCCTGTCTGGAAGCTTTTAAGAGCAACTTTTACTTTATAAATGATTGGAGCTCAGAGTCAACTGCCCACACTCAACACGAGCAGAATCATGTCACATTATAGTTTGGCAGTTACTTCTGGAAAAATCATCAATGATAAATTGGTTATGATGTGATAGCACATCAGAAAGAAGTCTGATGTGGATTCGGATGAGTAAAAGCTTATAAATGCTTCGATTTGACTAAGATTTAACCTTAAAAAACAGTCATCATGCTTCCAGTAGAGCAATACATCACTACAGGTTTTACAGTGGAAATTGGGGGAAATCCACAGGCTTGCAATTGGGGCTATAACTTTGATGCTTTGGCCATATATGGTTTCATTCGACTGCATGATTCACATGGATTATCAGTATTTGTAGCATATAAAGTGTAATTCACCCTATAAATTCTGAGGAGCAGCTCTGCAGCCATATCAGGGAAATTAACTCATCTCTGACACAGAATTGCCAGTCTGCTTCTGTACGTAACGTTCTTTTTTGCTCTCCATCTTAAGTGGCAGATGTTTAGTTTAATTTTATTGTTGCGTGTGCACACAATAGCACACAAGTGGAAACTCATCTGCAACACAACGCAGAGCCACTATGCCTGAAACATATTGGCACTTTGCAACCAATGCTCAGTTCAAATGATGAGTCACTCACATTTGCATGAAGGACATCGCTGCTCCTCATATTTACTGGACCAGTGTGTGCTTCTGGTATGCACGTATGATGAATCTGTGCCCATTAAAGACGACCCAAATCACTCCCTCAATTCCTTTACTGTATATGGAGCTCAGATCAGGTATACTTGCACTCCACACCATGAAAATTACGACCTCTTTGATCCAAACACAATAGTGCTAAATTGTACAGTTTAATGGGATCATTTTGAAACTCGACCAGTTGTGGTAAACTACGTTATTTTTTACAAGAAAAAATAGCCATAATTGAGCATGTTTTGACAAGCAAGCAGTGTTGTGATCAGCAACAGCAATTCTAAGCAAAAGTTTGGTTGACACGAAGCTGAGCCACATGAACTTGCCAATATAAACTAATGTGGGTGATGAGTGTTCAAAAAATGTCTTGCTAAGTCAAGCGACATTGAAGTCTGTTGGGTATATAAACATTCTGAAGAATCACTAAGCTAAAGAAAATAACTAAACAAGGCTATCATGACAAAATAAAAAATAAAAAATAAATAAAAAACAGGGTGTCCCCAAAGTCAAACATATTCAAATTATATAAACCGTCAAACTCTTACATAAAAGACAGATGACAAATTTTTGGTAATAAAAAACTAATAAATAATCTGTACACTGTAATAATTGGCTTGTAGTTATTTCATTTTATGCTAGTATTTTATGATAGTATTCTCTCAACACTACAGAAAAACTCACAGGATTCAAACACTCTTCACTGATGAGAAAGAGTATAGGATAATCAGTTTTGCTGCCTTTAAAAAGATATTTTTTTCAGTCACGTGAGTAAAAACTTACAGCATTGGGGATCTTTCATAGATTATGTGTATGCTCATGGACACACATATGATTGATACTGAACATTGCATGTCGTATGGATGAACATAAAGGCTGCATCACTTCTTGCATAGCGTGTAGCGTGTGAATGGAAACACACTGATGATGGATACGATGACTTTGTCGGGTAGGCAGAGAACCAGCTGCCTGGCTTGTTAAAAAACGGTTTAGAACAATGTGAAATAATGTGAATAAAGTGAAACTTTGGATTTCGCAGGTGTGTTTTTCGACATTGCACAAGCTACCGTATCTTGGCAGTCAGTTTCAGTCGATCCAAAAAGCTATTAAAATGCCATGAAGAATTGTGCTGGAGCCAAATGGCAAAGAAACTGGCTCTGACATGAATGTCTGCACACAAAAGCTAACATAATTTCTTTGAAACACGATCTCAGTGTTGAGTTTGCCAGCAAACTATCATAGTGCTTCTACTGTTATGGGTTAGAAAAATGATTAAATCCTATTTCTCTAAATAAATACATAGATACATGTTTTAATATTAGTTTCACATGGTGGATTAATTTCATATTAATTCTGTTCTCATAAAAGTTCTTTGACTGAAATAGATTTCTGTTAGACTTTTTTTCTGGGTGCTTTCCACTTGTAAACTGCCAAATTCCCTCTAAATAGAAGGGATGACTTAAACACATATAAGAATCACTCAGAAATGTTAGAGTCTAATCTAAACACATTATGCAGAGATACACAAACAGACATGCTATTTAAATTTGGTCCGTCTAAAGAAGTTTAATCTTTCTTTGGACATATTAGATGAATGTTTACAAGTTAAAAACTTTGTCAAGACATTTTTTTACTAAAGCTTTTTATTTAAGAATGTTGGACAAACAGAGAATACCTGAATTTGGCTACACCATCCCAAATTACACAAGCAGCCGACAAAATTTACATGACACTTTCAAACCTTTAACAACTTAAAACTCAAGAAAATGGAAAAAAAAAGCACAGATAAACTGCGAAAACACACTAACTTTAACTTTCTATTCTGTTGATTTTCAGGCTCTTCCCCAACAGCTTGTAAGATTTTCTTCCTCTAACATTCACCACTAGCAAAGCTGTGAAGACGATCTAAAGAATCTAATGATTTATACGATGTCTGATGACTTGATACTTTTGCTTTCCTTTTTCAAAAAATCCATGCAAAAACTTATATTTGAACTGTTTGCATATATTGAACAAAAAGTCAATATATGGAGATGTAAAGCACCATTAACTGAATACAGTTTTTTGTCAGTTTTAGTCCTTGTTTTTGATCTAAACACTGACGCTTTAGGTGTATCCTTTGTATTATAACACCAGCTTCAAACATTGACGTTGTTCTCTGCCTTTACGAAGAAGGTATTTTCATCCCTGGATGCTCAGTCCCTTCCCCTCCGCCTGTTGCCAGCTGAGAAAAAGAGATAGAACAATAAACACATGTCAGTCATGTAGACAGCGTTATTGTCTAACGCTGAGCTACGGGCTTTGTATGGACACGGCTCGGCATCTGCGCTCTGATCTCATCTCTCCCCATATGGAATCACCAAGCAGGGAGTGGGAGCGATGACTTTAATATTACACCGCACAGGGAAATATATCGACTCAGAAGCCAGACTCATGACACAGTTAAATGAACCACAGCTACACAGCAAATGTCAGCATAGCAGTCAGGTGAGCATTGCTGCAGCAAGCGTGACAGCGAAGAGTCCGCAGACGACATTTAGACACTGGAGGACTTTCTGGAAACTACATTTGCGCTTCATAGCTGAGAGTTAGATGAAAAGACAGATACCACATTGTTCTGCGCGGAAAATGTGAAGATAAACAGTCACTTGTAACTCAGCCCGTCTGAGTGCAAGGACATAAAAAATAAAGTCGGCCAGCTTGACTCCATCAAAACAAAACAAAACCAGTCACGAGCACCCCCAGATTAAATCCCTATATGCTTCATTTGTGTAAAGGCTTTGCATTGTGGTTACAGTGGTGATTGTGTAGTTCTTTTTTTACAAGAATTCATACATTTTTATTCTCCCTGAGGGCACCAGGAGTTTCATGGAGATAATAAATAATAAAAATTGATGTCTGGCCAAAAAATGTGCTTAAAAAAATAAATAGTTCATTTTATCACTAGAAAGGCATCAGTAACTTTAAAAATAAGCAAACTTTTTTTTTCTTACATCCATTTCTACAAAGCACAATTAGTGCTTTCAAACTTATCATTTAACTCTCCACAGGTAAAAGAGCAGTGAGCGCAATTTTTGCAAAGCTACTCCATCAACCTCTATGATTGATGGGGTGTACTATTCATATGATGCAGAAGGTGCCATATGAATAAAGTGACAGACGTGGAATTATAGCCAGAATTAGCTCTCAGACCATGTCACAGTTTCTGTAAAAACAGAATGTTTCTTTATTTGGCTTATAGCCTGTCTTCATTTTACCTAAAACTCTTCGGGGAGGATTTCTTCCTCCTATGAAGGCAAGCAAACATATACATAACATATACTTTGTGAATTACTTCTCTTTGTTTCTGGGATGCACAAAATTCCAAAACTTACTCTGGATCAGTCTTGTAAGTTGCTCAGAGTCAAGATCCGCATTCCCTTCAATGGTTGTAATCTTTGAAAGGTCGACTCCTGATGGAAAAAGCATTTTTCCGATGACATAGGTATGATACTATGAATATTGTGGCCCTTTCCTCTGTAACGCATTAACATTACGTTGCTCAGATAATATGCCTGTACACGTATACTTTAAAATGTGCTTACCTTCCAGGTCAAAATTGGAGGTGCCAGTGCTGACTGAGTACTGAGGGCCTACACACAAGGAAATATAATGAGTTATTCGGAGTGGAAGTTATGTGAAACTTGCAATAGTATATAGTTACATAAATGTTGGTAAATGATTTCCTCTTTACCTGTGACAACCCTGGTGACTTTAGTGATGGTGGGGTCTCCCTCAATGACCCTGGTTACCTTGGTGAAAGTGGGATCTCCCTCAATGACTCTGGTTACCTTGGTGAAGGTGGGATCTCCCTCGATGACCCTGGTTACCTTGGTGATCTTGGGATCCCCTTCAATGACCCTGGTTACCTTGGTTATGGTGGGCTGTCCTGTATAAACATACTTATTATGCTTCACAGCAAAGAAAATAGGAGGAAACAATCATTACACTCTCAGGCATCACTCAGTCTAGAGGCCTGGACACTAATTATGTATTAATTATGTATTAAGATTGGCCCTGATTTGGTTTAGTGTGCATGTGCACACACCAGGGTCACTGAGGATGAAGAACAGGTAGAAGATTAGGAAAAGTGGGAGAATATTTCATGAACATATTGTGTACTGATGTGACTTTACAGTCTAAATAGTGGAATGATGGTACTCTGCACTCATTGTTACCTTCTTGGATAACACGTGTGATGATCCTCTCTAAAAACAACAGCACATGAATAAATAAATGAGAGTGAGATTTGCATATTCAAATGAAAAACTCACAAAAATCTGAACTTGGATTTTGAAATTATGAATCTTTTATACCAAAATAACATCAGTACTTACTCATAAATGTAAGGGGTATTTCTTGATAGCTAAATCCTGAAATGTACTGTAAATATAGTGGGAAAATGTTGAATTAGCAGTTTTAAAATGAAAAAATGAACAAAAAAAATCAATCAAGCACACACATGGTTTAAAAGTCAGTTCTTGTTTTGTGCTTCAAGTTGAGTTACACAACAAGTATGTTTTTTCAATGATAGACAAACCCCACCCTGCTTATCTATGAGCAACTAAGCTTTAAAAATGAGATAATCATTCTCACCTTGATTTGAATATAAGAGATGAGTTTTCTCAGTATCATTAGGAGATCCTGGCTTCCCACAGGCATATCTGGAGGAGTGCATTAGGCGTTACCCACAATTAGACCTTTGCAATGATTATGAATAAAAGTATAAGTCTTGACAGATTTATCAAGGGAAGCAGTTATTAAATAAATTCATACCTGCAGGGTACAAAGCTTGGTCAACAAAGTGAATGACGCCATTTGTGGCCATTATATCAGACTCTGGGAGTTGGATCGAGTTCACTTTCACCGTGTTGTTTGCCTGAGGTTGACAGTTTAAAAATCCACAGACCACAAAACTGGCATGAATGACATAAATTAATCCTGATCTCAATGCCAAGAGATTTGATCAGATGTGCTCGTTCAGGATGTCAAATAATAACTACATGCAACAAGTATTTTGCCAACATCTACAACTCTGTACTCAGAGAAAAGTAGAAAATGATAGTTAAAAAATGCCAATTAAAATGTAAAAAATGAAGTTTTGGGGATAAAATACTCACAGAAATCAAGTTAAGGTTGCTGCCCTGGAGAGTTTTGAAGAGGTTTGTCACACCACCTTCCAAACCACCACTAATGACAATTCCATTAGCGAAGTGGTACAAAAGAATAGTTCGGAGAGCATTTATGTCACCTTAAGGAAAAAACAAAGAACAAATAATACGTTGATCATTTCTTTTACAAATTTCAACTCATGAAATTTGCTGCTCTTGAATAGCTGAGAAGATCAAAGACAGTGAAGCAGACCTACCCTTTAACAGGGTCATGTCTCTTTCACTTAAACCAGCAAATGCCTTATCGCTCGGGGCAAACAAAGTGAAGTCTCCTTCTTGTTGAAGCAGGTCAGTCAACCCAGCAGCTTCCATCAAAGACAAAAATATCCTAAAGCGCAAACAAGAAACCAGAAACTTGGCTGTGAATAAACCCCAGTGAGGTGATAAATTGCACAGACAGCACTTTTCATTGCCATATGCGCAATGTTGAAAGACAAAGGAGAGTCACGCTGTATGAGAGGTAAATTCTATGAACTTCGTCTGGTGCTTACTTGAAACCTCCATTTTCTGTCAGAATCTCAAGCATATGTTTTTCTGCAGGTTTCAACATAGTCCTCGTGAGATGAAGAGCTCCATTGGTTCCTTCTTTACTGCCTCTTATCAGGCAGGAATTCTCAATACACACAGCCTGGAGATAAAAACACACGTCAGGAGAATGGTGGGACACCTCAAATATAATATGATTGATGAACAAATGACAGGCGTACTGCACATAAACATATTCAATGGCAGACAGCCATCATTTTCAGGCAGAACTTCACAGAGGATGACTAACCGTGCGGTATATGAAGACCCGAAGGATTTTCCCCCCAATGGTCTCCAACCGCTGGCCGTTGTAGAGCTGTCCCAGGCTGATCTTATTCTTCACAATGTGGTTCTCCAGAATCATTTTGAGAATACTCTGATCTATGGACATCACTTCATCTGGAAAGATTTAGTTTCATATCTTTAAAAAAGTATATTTATGCGATTTTGAACACAATGTGGAGTTAAAGCAAATGTTTTGCGTTTGCTGCGTGTGGAGCATTAATATGGCATAAATAAGGGGAAACGTCATGCTGTATCAAATGTGCTTTAGCCTAACCATGAGAGTCATGAGATGAGATTAGGGTAAAATGGACCAGATGTACTCATGTAGTCCTTATTATATGTAACAGGATAGAAGCATTTGATAAAATATCACAATGCTTTCTTCCATTCATTTTCAAATCGGCAGTGTGGGGACTGGAGTCGGCTAACATCAGGCAGGAGGCAGAGTACAGCTGAGAAAAACCAAGAAAGAGAAAAAAAACAAACGGACACACACAGTCACCCAAACTCCTGTCAATTTAGATTAACCAGGGAACCTTATATCCAATTATTGGATTATGGGAGGAAGCCCAGGTATCCGGAATAAAAACCACACTGGCAAGGAGAGAACATTTATACTCCTCTTAGAAATATCTCAGCAAAGATTTAAACCAGGAAACCTCTTGCTGTGTGATGTCATGCTAACATTCATCACTCGGCCAGGATGTTTCGGACATCCAAATACATAATTGATAAGGTTTTGAAATGTTGCTTATTATAAAGAAACTATCTTTTGGTTGAGTTTGGGACAAGTTGATTCAGTTTAGTGCAGGGGGTTCAAATCCAGTCCTCAAAGTTCTGTAGGTTTAAAATGTTTCCCTCCTCCAACACACCTCATTCACATCAATGAGCCATAAGCCAGCCGGTGCAGGGCTTAAGAGTCTGCTGAATGGATCCATTCCATATAAATAAGCAGCAGGTTAATGTTTTTTGAGCAGCATTTGCATATACAATGAAATCTGAATCTGAATCTAAATAAAACCAAAAGAAATTTGCCACGTTTTTAAGGAATGATTGAATTATATATTTTCTATCGTTTTACAGAGAACTGTTGATCTTTTTAAGCAACACAAAATCAGTCAAACAAATGAAAAACTCTTCACAAAAACTGTTCTATGGGAAAAACTCCACATATTTTTTCTTGTACATAAAAAAGTTGGATTTGACTCTGATTAACAACGTGTCCCGGAGCTTGCCCCAAAACAGTCACCTAGCATTTATATTAAGCCCTCTGCTGAGTGGAAAACCGTATCACATGCATGAACAGTGAGTGACTCACCGGTGAAGGCGGAATTGAGAGGGGCCAGTAAAGTGTAGTCAGCTTCTGGGCTCATGTCAACAGAAATGCCCAGCTCGGATACCATGTCACCGAAGGTTGACTGTGAGCTTCCCAAAAGTTCCATTACCTGCTTAGCTAAACATTGAACGGGAATTTCAGAAACCATCAACTTATGAATCGAGGGAAACATATTTCAGTAAAAAAACAAGGTTTTGCACCACTATTAAATGAAAGGGAAGAAGGATTATACCTGAGTCTGGTAGGAGAACCTGGTCAATAAGGTGGATGACACCATTGGTGGTGACAATGTCCTTTTTGATGACCATTTTAACGCCATTAACAGTTAAGCTTTCGCCATCACAGCCGATTTCAATATTGTTTCCCTCCAGGGTCTCATAAGAGCTTCCAGCCATGATGGCCTCAGAGCACTGGACTGAGTCCAAGAGGTGGAAATTCAGAAGAGCTGAAACCAGATGGCATTTTAAGTTATTGTGTGGTTAAGTTGTATAGTTTGATATTAATTTGATGCATTGACGGCCGAATGTAATGTCTCATGTTCCACTGCAGCTGAAGAAATAATGCTCCGGAAACCTGCAGACCCTTTCGATCCCTGAGGTCCTAATAAGAAATGACTAGACAGGCTCTGCTTCACCTTGTGTGAAGTGATCTCATAGGGTAAGTTATGGGCTAAAAAAAAATGTTGTTGAGTGAAGATTACTCACTGAGGCAGCTGCTTCCCTCTTGTCAGAGGATATGTAAAAAGACTGGTTCTAAAGATGTTTAATATTTTCCAAACCAAACTGTGGCCAAACATTTCAAACCTTGAGTTTGATTCTGAACATGGGATTTGTGTTGTAAGTAAATTCCAACATATATAAAAATAAATAATAAGATTAATTATTTCAACCAGGAGTAGATTTGTCCACTTACTCAACTTTATGGTACAGATTTGATGTTTAAATCAAAATCAAGATCACATGTATTGAATAAGAACACTCAACATGTAAAATGGGAACATCTTGTTTCCTTAGCTTTAGATGAATATGTACTGAAGTTAGTTAAAGTGTTCCAAAGAGAGAATTACCTGTGAGGGCCTCCTTGTCACTCTGAAGCCTCTCTAACATGCCACTATCGAGCTTATCGAAGGCATCGTTGGTGGGGGCGAAGAGAGTGTAATGTCCAGGCTCACCCAGTTTCTCCAACAGTCCAGCTGTTTGAGCCATGTCCTAGAACGGGAATTTTACAGCTGGTTCGATTAACTGCGCCTCAAAGCATCATAAAATGTGTCTGAGACCTTCTTCTACCCCCCGTGTATACTTACATTGAGAGTTGTCAAGTCATCACTGACATCGAGGTGTCCCTGGATGGTGTTTCCTGCAGCGCTGATGACACGGTCAATTACATGCACAACTCCATTTGTGGCAACCTGGTTGCCATAGATAATCCGTGCACAGTTGACAGTCACCACCTGTACATAAAATACAATTTACTGCCAAGTGTTTTTAGTAAATGACAACCTGTAGCAATGCTAAAATTCAATACTCACCCCATTGGAGTAATGGTTAATTAGGAGATCAAGATCGTTGTACATTGAGGTCACTTTCAGTCCATTCCTTAAATCTTTGGTCAAGAGGCGTTTGTTGACCATGTGGTAATGAAGAGAGTTGTACAGTTCAATGTTGACATTACTGACCAGTGCGTTCCTCACTTCCTGTTAGGAGATGAGAATAAAAGTTTCTAACAACAGTAAAAGACTTGAACCGGGTTTTTTTGTTTTGACGTTACTTACCTCATCCAGTAGGTCCCAGGCTTCATTGCTTGGAGCAAAGAAAGTAAACGATCCTGGGCCCTCAATCTCAGGTCTCAGTTTAGACATGTCAGAATATTTTTGGGTTGATGAGGCCTTTACTATAGCCAAACTCCCGTACACATGGTCAATTGGGGCAACTAGAAAACAAATAAGTTCCATCAGATACTTGCATGTCTTTTTGAAAATAAAAACATGACAAATGAAACAGTTCTAAAGAAAATCAAGACAAAACTTTAGCTGTGAGGACAGTTAGGACAGTAAGTGGTGGTAGTCTCTCCAACTTTATCTTGTATGACATAAGAATAAAACACATCTGTTCAACAGTAAGAGGATGTGACCTCATCTAATCTCCATACACATTGTAAGCTGTAGCAGAAACTGTACCTGCGGGACAACCACGCATCCCATCCAGCTTGATGTACCCTGGGCAGCATTCATAAAGCACAGTCCTGCATCCAAAACACAACCGTCACAAAGTTGAGTCTTGCACATCCCCGAAACATTATTTGCAAAATTCATAGCTGTGAATGAAATTGGGATTTCATTTCACAGCTGCTGAGTAATCACTCAGCCTGTGTGTTGCTGGTTGTGTTTCCAGATGTTTCTGATTACCTCTGACATTATCCCAACAGACCACGAGGTCTTGCAGCTTGAGCCAAAACCTCATGGAAAGTTGGCCTTAAATCCTGTGCTACTATGACAGTAGTAGATTTGTATTACCAAATTTTGATCTTAAGATGTTAGTTTTTCTTTTCAGTGTTAGAAAGATTTAAATTTGGCAACTGCTGAGTAATCAGATTTTCTTATGGGTTTGATGGGATACATGAAAACAGATGCACTACCCCATGAGTTCTTGAAACTCAATTTTACGGTCATTTGAATGTTCGTCTCCCTTTTGTTTATCAATTCAGTTCTCCTTTTACTTCCTTTTAGTTTTACCTGGCCCTGCAGCCTGGGGTGAATCATGAAGGAGCAGCAATGAGATGTAAGAACAAAACTTGAACCAGCATCCTGAATCATGTTTAAACTGCAGCATTGCTTCCATCTGTGGGAAAACTAGGCATTGTAGGATGTATACACTTTATCCTACATGGCTGGGAAGTCTTCCACAACAGAAAACCCCACCAGGGATAAAGAAGCAGTAAACAATACCATATGTACTCAGAGTAGGCACGGGAGTTCATTTGGGATTTTTTTTATTGTTTAAGTAATGGAAACAGATCCAGCTTTCAAGTCAACATAATGGATGTAATCATGGTGACTGGTAATAGCTATATAATGTATTACTCTTTTAAAAAGGAATCACCAATGCCAGTGTAATGAGAAGTAATACATTTGATTGTCATACAGTGGTTCTGGAGACAATAAACTGAAACTTAAAATGTTTAGAAAGTCTCATGTAAAATCCACATCCAAGGAAAGCTCCAAATTTGTGTGCCATTTGTAGTTAAACTTAGAAAAGAAATCTGTGATGGGAATCACAATCATGTAGGGTTGAATGTAAGAATGTATCTAATGACTAATGATCTTCAAACTTCATCAGTAATTCATTCTTTTCCTTTCTTTGCTCTTTGAAATTTCCGGAAGGCTGGAACCAATCTCTGCTACCACTGAGTGGTGGCCGAGAGGATCCATCAGTAATTGATAAATGGGAAGAAAGATCTTCAAAATGACAAGACTAAACAATTTACAAAGAGAGAGAGCTTACGGTGGAACAATTGTTCTTTCTTTCATCCACTGCTGGGGTTTCTGACTGGACATAGAGGAGCAGTTCTGCATCGTTTCGAACTGCATGTCTGCAACATCTGTATTTGAATCAAGGTTGAATGGAGCTGCAGGGTCTGGGATGAGATCACTCAAAGCCCAATGGGGCAGAGTCAGCAAAACCCTTATTATATTGCTTTCCCACACTGAGGGATTGTGTTTGGCCATGGAGCTGGAAACTTTTGACAACCAGCATCTTTACAGAAGCACCGTTCCTTAACTTTGCTTGAAAACGTTGTAAAGTATATTGCATGTAATGTATGTGGTTTTATTCTAATAAAACATATAACTAATGTGAAACCTGGAAGTGTGGCAGTTCAAAGTTTTCTTGGAGACAGACTGGAGGCAGAAACACACATTCTGTGGGTGAAGACAAATATTTTGGATGGCTGTATAAAGTTAAACTGGGTCCCTATGAAAAACATTTAGATAAGCTCAGTTTAAGCCACTCTGCTGTGAATTCAACTGTTTATTCAAATAATCTGTGTAAAAAATGGCCTTTTATCTAATGCTGAGAGAGATTTCCTGAGACATACCTTTCCTTAAATGTCTAACCATCAAGCTGATTCAACATTTAGATCAAAAGGAATAGTAAGTATACTGTCATTCAACGGTCAGTGAACCCACTGAGACCAAAGCTTTCATTATGCTCTCTATGTTGAAGCTCTGAAGTTAATGTATATGTGAAACCTTAGCTAGAATCTAACTGTGAAAATTATACTTTAAAATGCACATCCAACACCCAACTGTATGAATTAAAATTGTGAATTAAACTGAACTTGCAGAGCTCAGTCTGCAGCCTGGACTCATCATGCAGGATCATAATTAATCACGGCTTTTCATGAGTAACAGCAGTAAGAGGAAACTTCCTTGTGTATATGTTTTGTGTGCATATGTGTATCTATATGAGAAGGAGAAAAAAGGGTCTCAAAAGTGGTTGAGGCTTGGATCCACGATCCTTTGTGCTGAGCCAGTTGGAATCCCAACAGAAAGCAGGGTTCTAATGGTGGAGTGTCGTTCCATTTATGAACGCAGTCAACATTTTGCACCCACATATCCTGGAACCAATCGCTGAGGCATCCAACAATGACCCGGCATCAAACATTATAAAAATCCTATTGAGGTTTATGGGATCAGACAGAATTATCTTCAATACAAAGATTTAAATGCCCGGTTCCGTGAATGTGTTTTTCATTTTATGCAGCAGAGCAATTCAGAGTGAGATAACAGATGTCTATCTGTGTGGAAACTTGGATGTTTCCATGAAAGCCCCTAAGAGGAGGAAAGAAAAGACTGAGAAGCAGACAGGGTCTGAGGAAACATATGAAGAAACTTAGAAAAGTAAAGACTGAGTTGAGTTTTACAGCAGTTTCTGAACATACACATAACATTTTTAAAGCAACAAATTCAACTGGAAAAAACAACACTTACGCTTTTTTTCCACAGATGGCCCCCTGGTACCAATTACGACAAGTGCTAAAATATTTCTTCTTGGTCCCCATGACTTGCTGGAGTGCACAGACATTGGGGCTGTTGAATTGCATGAGAAAACCGGATAAACCATTAATCAGCTAGTTAAAGATGAATAAGAATGTTCTCAAAATGAAATACTACTCATAGAAACTATAATGGGGAAAACAGCCTTCCTGGGAAGGACATTAGACTGTCGGGTTTGAATCATTATTTGGCTATTTGTGAAGCTTTAATAACCAAACAGTCAGTTTTGAATAATGATATCTATGTGATATCTGTGTCACTTCTGAGTTATGGTTTGATTACTATCACATCACTCAATTCTAACCTATCAAACTGAAGGAACATTATCCTGTGCGATTTTTAAACAATTTGTGAAATTACTTAGATTTAATATCTAACATAGTAAATTTATAGAAGAATAACAAAAGAAAAAAAGTTTAACTGTAGAAATAGCACAAACTGATGCTCACTAATATGGAGACTTATGCACACCATTATATAACTTAGCACAAGAGAATAAGAAAAAAAAAACTTATCCAAATGACTTATAAATCTTCATGGCTTACCCCTCTTTCTTGGCCCTGATGCGACTGTGGGAAACTATTTTGTCATAAGCTGAAGAATCAGCAGAGTCAAAAGCCGAGAGCACAAAAAGTGCAAATGCTGCCACAAATAGGAGCTTCATGCTTGTTTCCAGCGAGCCCTTTGAGTCCCAGAGTAATGGGAGCAGACTCACAGCTGCAGTTTATATACCACAAGTCTTACCCTCCAGTCAAGGAGGATGGCAAAAAATGTTCCATGCAAAGACCACCCAGACCCTGTCGAATGCCACATTTTGATAAAAAAAACTGTACTTTATCACACTTTGTAAGATATTCCTTTTTATTATAAATGTTTTTATTGATACTATTGGCATTCTGCATTCTGTACCAGCTATAAATGCTTTGTAAAGGGCATCTTTGAAAACACAGAACCTAGCACTTGAAGATTGCTGACATTACACATTATAAAGCATTTGCAGACATTTCAGATAAAATAAAAACTTTAAATGCATTTCAGCTACACTGCAATGAAACACCAGCCAAACATACAATACTGATGTATATATATATATATGGACCAAGGTGAAGTATACGGGGAGCAGAGTTAGATGCTAATTTAACTATCAGAAAGAAACAACAAAAGAAAGAAAAGCCTTGTACAACACAACATGTGCTCTAAAGAAATGGCAGGGCACTAAACGCGCGTTTAGCTCGCCCTGGTGGCAGAACAGAGAGCAGGCAGAGAGGATAAGGCTGTTGCTGTGTTGTCACAGGTAGACTGTTAAACTGAACACAGAAAATGTGGTGAAAGATGAGAAACAAGACAACCTGAAACCAAAAACATTTAAGCAGTTGTCATTTTTAGTCCCAATTTAGGTTTTACCCACTTCATGATTTCTTGGCTGCACTGCATTGTTGTTTGCCCCGCATAGGTCACATGGTCCAACATTTGTTACTCATAGTGTACCCATGTGATATCACTTATATCAAACAGATTGTCTTATGCTGCTAAACGTCCTGGGGAGAGACAGATGCTCCAATGGTGGAAAGGAAAAAAAGAAACAATGCTCGAGCACGTCAACAACTCTCTGGGAATGGAGATGAGTTCCCTTTATTTGTATAAAGGGTAAATCTGCAACTTGCTTCAAGTCAACTAATTTATCAAATAATGTAAATAACAAAAAATAACACATTAACTTTGCACGCATATCTTTAAATCCATCTTACAATCAAAGTACTTGCTTGAAAAGGAAAATAGCATTTTTTATAGCATTTGGTTAAATGAAAACTAAATGGGGCATGGCTTTTGCCCTTTAGATGAAGATAAACTCTATCTTAATTAGTCACTTTCATGCATATTGACACAGAGGCACCGCCTGTGCCACAAAGTTTCAGCTTTGCTCCTAAACAAGAATCGTTTCTCATTTACATGTTCATAGTGGGCTCCTTTTAAGTGAAAATTAAAAAAGAAAACACTTCAACAGCTTGAGTGAGCTTTATAGAGATAATAAAAAGACCAAAACACTTTGTTGGCTAGCTTTCTAAAGATAGTGCGGCTGCTTTGGCAAGAAGAACTGACTTTGGTTTTTCCGAGCACTACAAACGAAAGACATGAATCTTTATGTCTGTAGAAAGTTATCCTGATTATCTTAGACTGTCTGCAATTTACTTCGCACGGGCCCACCACCCGTGGGAGGGGCCATAGGGGTCGGGTGCGCTGTGCCCTGGGCGGCGGCCGGAGTCGGGGATCTTGGCGGACTGATCCCCGGCTGCAGAAGCTGGCTCTAGGGACGTGGAACGTCACCTCTCTGGCGGGGAAGGAGCCTGAGTTAGTGTGCGAGGCGGAGAGATTCCGGCTGGACATCGTCGGTCTCGCCTCGACACACAGCTCTGGCTCTGGAACCAGCCTTCTTGAGAGGGGTTGGACGCTTTGCTACTCTGGAGTTGCCCCCGGTGAGAGGCGCCGAGCAGGAGTGGGCATACTCATTGCCCCCCATCTCGGTGCCTGTACGTTGGGGTTTACCCCAGTGAGCGAGAGGGTAGCATCCCTTCGCCTTCGGGTGGGGGGACGGGTCCTGACTGTCGTTTGTGCCTATGCGCCTAGCGGCAGCACAGAGTACCCACCCTTTTTGGAGTCCTTAGAGGGGGTACTGGAGGGTGCCCCCCCTGGGGACTCCCTCGTTTTGCTGGGGGACTTCAACGCTCACGTGGGCAACGACAGTGGGACCTGGAGGGGCGTGGTTGGGAGGAATGGCCCCCCCAGCTTGAACCCGAGCGGTGTTCTGTTTTTGGACTTCTGTGCTCGGCACGGATTGTCCATAACGAACACCATGTTCAAACATAAGAGTGTCCATATGTGCACCTGGCACCAGGACACTCTAGGCCGCAGTTCAATGATCGACTTTGTTGTCGTTTCAGCTGATCTGCGGCCGCATGTTTTGGACACTCGGGTCAAGAGGGGGGCGGAGCTTTCCACCGACCACTACCTGGTGGTGAGTTGGCTCCGATGGCGGGGGAGGATGCCGGTGAGACCCGGGAGGCCCAAACGTGTTGTGAGGGTCTGCTGGGAGCGCCTGGCGGAGTCCCCTGTTAGGCGGAGCTTTAACTCCCACCTCCGGGAGAGCTTCGAACACGTTCCGGGGGAGGCGGGGGACATTGAGTCCGAGTGGGCCGTGTTCCGCGCCTCCATCAATGACGCGGCCTCCCAGAGCTGCGGTCGCAGGGCTGTCGGTGCCTGTCGTGGCGGCAACCCTCGAACCCGCTGGTGGACACCGGCGGTGAGGGATGCCGTCAGGCTGAAGAAGGAGTCCTATCGGGCCTTTTTGGCCTGTGGGACTCCGGAGGCAGCCGATGGGTACCGGCAGTCCAAGCGACGTGCGGCTCGGGTGGTCGCCGAGGCAAAAACCCGTGCGTGGGAGGAGTTTGGGGAGGCCATGGAAAAAGACTTCCGTACGGCCTCGAGGCGATTCTGGTCCACCATCCGGCGTCTCAGGGGGGGGAAGCAGTGCCCCACCAACACTGTTTACAGTGGGGATGGTGTGCTGTTGACCTCAACTCGTGACGTTGTGGGTCGGTGGGCGGAGTACTTCGAGGACCTCCTCAATCCCACTGGCGCGTCCTCCGTTGGAGGGGCAGAGCCTGGGGATCCGGAGTTAGGATCTCTAATCTCCGGGGCTGAAGTCACCGAGGCAGTCAAAAAGCTCCGCGGTGGCAAGGCCCCGGGGGTGGATGAGATCCGGCCGGAGTTCCTTAAGGCTTTGGATGTTGTGGGGCTGCGTTGGCTAACGCGACTCTGCAACATCGCGTGGACATCAGGGGCAGTCCCGCTGGATTGGCAGACTGGGGTGGTGGTCCCCCTATTTAAAAAGGGGGACCGAAGGGTGTGTTCCAACTATAGGGGGATCACACTCTTAAGCCTCCCTGGGAAGGTCTATTCAGCGGTTCTGGAGAGGAGGGTCCGTCGGATAGTCGAGCCTCGGATCGAGGAGGAGCAGGGTGGTTTTCGTCCTGGCCGTGGAACGCTGGACCAGCTCTATACCCTCTGCGGGGTCCTAGAGGGTGCATGGGAGTTCGCTCAACCAGTCCACATGTGTTTTGTGGACTTGGAGAAGGCGTTCGACCGTGTCCCTCGGGGTATCCTGTGGGGGGTGCTCCGGGAGTATGGGGTACCTGGCCCCTTGTTACGGGCTGTTAGGTCCCTGTACGACCGGAGCCAGAGCCTGGTTCGCATTGCCGGTAGTAAGTCGGACTCGTTTCCGGTGGGAGTTGGACTCCGCCAAGGTTGCCCTATGTCTCCGGTCCTGTTCATGACTTTTATGGACAGGATTTCTAGGCGCAGCCGAGGTGTTGAGGGTGTCAGTCTTGGTGGCCTTAGGGTCGCATCTCTGCTTTTTGCAGATGATGTGGTCCTGTTGGCTCCATCAAGTCGGGACCTACAGCTCTCACTGGAGCGGTTTGCAGCCGAGTGCGAAGCGGCTGGGATGAGGATCAGTGCCTCCAAGTCCGAGACCATGGTCTCTCACCGGAAAAGGGTAGAGTGCCTTCTCCGGGTCGGAGCGGACGTCCTTCCCCAAGTGGAGGAGTTCAAGTATCTCGGGGTCTTGTTTGCGAATGGGGGTAGGGAGCGTGAGATCGATAGGCGGATCGGTGCGGCGTCTGCAGTAATGCGGGCGCTGTACCGGTCTGTCGTGATGAAGAGAGAGCTGAGCCTAAAGGCGAAGCTCTCAATTTATCGGTCGATCTACGTTCCCACCCTCGTCTATGGTCACGAGCTTTGGGTAGTGACCGAAAGAACGAGATCGCGGATACAAGCGGCCGAAATGAGTTTCCTCCGCAGGGTGGCTGGGCTCTCCCTTAGAGATAGGGTGAGAAGCTCGGCCATCCGGGAGGGGCTCGGAGTAGAGCCGCTGCTCCTCCACGTGGAGAGGAGCCAGTTGAGGTGGCTCGGGCATCTGTTCAGGATGCCTCCTGGTCGCCTCCCTGGGGAGGTGTTCCGGGCTCGTCCCACCGGGAGAAGGCCCAGAGGAAGACCCAGGACCCGCTGGAGGGACTATGTGTCCCGGCTGGCCTGGGAACGCCTCGGGATCCCCCCGGAGGAGCTGGCCGAAGTGGCCGGGGAGAGGGAAGTCTGGATTTCCCTGCTCCGGCTGCTGCCCCCGCGACCCGACCCCGGATAAGCGGAGGAGAATGGATGGATGGATGGATGGATGTCTGCAATTTATGGCATTTGCTTATAGCTTTGGTGTTCATCTGTGGGTTTGAAAAACACTTTGAGGGCAACTAAAAGCATAAACAATGTCCATGTACATGGGGGTGGGGGATGGAGTTTGGAGTTAAACTGGTATTGATAATGAGACTAGAATCCAGCTTTCAATGCATGTTCTCCACTGGGTCAGAAGTTATTCAAAAAGTCAGTAGAAAAAAAGTGGAAGGTATAGTCACACATCTTCATTCTTTCATGCTCATAAATCACTAGAGGGCACTGAGCGCATGGCGTGCACGACTGGCTGTCTCATCGTTGCAGCAGCACAGTTGACCTTTTATTCCAAACACCAACTGTTTTCACCAACTGGAGAAAAGTATTTACACCTATCAGCGGAGACAAAACACAAATCATGCCCAGATGTTGTAATACTTCTGCTGAATAGAGCGGGCAACAACTCCTACAAAAGCCTCCTCTAAAGGCCCTCGCAGGACATGAGAAAAGGGAACATGTTGATAGAAGGACAAGCATAAACTATTTACTGAATACTTTTCTCCAGTAAACAGAGGAGAGGTTTGAGCAGTGATATAAAGGGGAAGTCCACTTAGTTCCATCTGTTCATCTGTCTTCTTCTGAACTGCCTCGAGGTTAATGTTCATCCCTCATCGTTTTGAAATGAAAATATGATGTAGACAACAAATGGTAGATACCCTTTTAATTAACATTTGATTTATTTTATCACGGATTAGGCCCATTACATGTCATAAGTAGTTGAGAGTATTAGAGGATTGAAAGTACGAAAATATTTCTGGAAGGCCCACGAACCTGAAAAATGTAACAGCTGACATGAGTACAATCTGCTCAGAATGAAATCAGGACACAAATTTCACTCTGATTAGTCTGGATGTTTTGTCTGTCTAATTTTTCTTGTCACTTTAAACATGTCCCGTAATTACTAGCCAAGTAAACGAGAAGCTGAATGAATTACTCATTCAACAGAAGATGGACTATCCAGATAGAATATTAAATCAGTTTAGCTAGTGCATGCATATATCTATATTCAATGGTAATTTCCTGGATTACTCCAATGTTGCATAACTATCATAGCATGAAAAAACAAACAAAAAAAAGCGAAAAACTGAAAACCAGGAGAAACACTACAGTGAAAAGCAGACTCTTATGAAATCGTGTTTTTGTGTACGACAGTCTGAGAACTCATCTGTGTGAAAGAGAATGGGAATGGCAGCAGGGTGTCTGAACTCTTGAGATAACTGCTCAAGTAAAACAAAAATAACCACCAGATTTCACAGTTCCCTGAGCCCCAAGTGAGATTCACTTTAAAGATAATGTAAGACAATATTATCATTATTATCATTATTGTACCATTATATAGCCAAAAGGATGTAATATCATTTTCACAGAGTACTGAATGAATCTACTGCCTATCCTGACTAATTTTAACTTAACACCTAGGACAGGTAGATTTTTTTGTTTATGCATTTAGCAGATGCAAAAGTAGATGTGATTCAGGCATGACTTCAGTATTTCATTCAGAGGCAGATTCATTTTTACGTATTTGAACTTTTTTCAGACCATTGTTCACTTCTTCCGGCTTAATAGTGCCAGGAAGCTCCACCTCCTCAGTGTCCATCTCGGCTGTTATTTTTTTAGGTTCAAGCTGGTCTTGGTTTTGTCCACAAGATTTCAGCACATCCTCCTCTGAAAACAAGCATGTTTCCTTACGTTTCCGAAGGGAGAGTGTCTCTTGTCTCTTGGGGGATCCTCCTTTTACGGATTCTTCTGTTATTTTGCTCTGAGTCTCTTCCATAGTGGACCAAACCACAGAGCCATTAGCGGGCTTGTCAAAGCGAACGGATCTGGTTGTGTTGGCAGCTTTGCTTTGCAGGGTGGCCGTGGTGGTGGTGACCACATCGGACTTGTTTGGCTGATGTTGGGGCTCATTGGTGGAGAATTTGGGATAATATTTGAAGGAGTTTCCAGCATAAGCCAAGGTGGAGCTGGCAACTTGACCCGATACCCCAAACTGGGGTTTAGCTTTCATCATTCCCAGAACCTCATAGCGAAAACTGGAGATATCCTGTTTGAGCTCCTGTTGAATTGAGAAAATCAGAAGTTAAATGGCAACACGGAAACCTTGGTAAATGAAACTGAAGCATTTAGGTAAACCAAATTTTAAATTTGGCACGCTACCTTGAAATTTTCCTCAGTTAATCCTTCCTCCGTTTTGGCATCTCTAATCATCGCAGCCACATACCTCTTCACAAGATTCTTTAAAACTTCCTAAAGTATATAAGCATTAACACATTTGATTTATATTTCAAATATAATTTGCATGTAAATTAATATGAATTTAAATATAAAATGTATCAGTAATCAAAGACAGCAAACCTGATACTCGTGGCTTGATCTGACATTTTCAGCTGCACGTCTCTACAACAAAACAAAACAAAATTGACCATTTTTTTCATGGTTATGGAGAAGCATTTCAAATCTAAAAAAATGCTGTACTGTCAAGTCATATCAGAGCAACATGTCTTGAAAAATCCTTACCCCCAAACTCTCAAACGTTTCAAGTGTTTTATTGCTTGGTCTCTTGAACAAATTTGTCTTTATCCATCCAATTAGATAATATACCGACTTTGGACTGGGTACTATATTAAATGGAGATGGTAACGTTCCCCCTTCTTCAAAATAACTCATCCATAATTTTGTTCTGGCAAATTTCCACTCTATATCTGCATGATCCTGAAAAGACAAACAAACAATTCATCAAAGCTTTTTCCATAAGAAAACTCAACAAACTCCAGGTATGAAACTGACCCAATAACACCACTCACGGCTATATGCTGATAGGAATTGTTCATCATGGCTATTAACATGTTTAGAAGCACCACCAGGGAGATGATGTTATAAGTTCCAAACATGGTTGAGCCTACAAACTCTGTGAACTGATGGTGTGGCTTCACATTGGTGACATAGAGGGATATCAGGCCAAATATGGACCAGAATAATGACTGCAGTGTCTCAAACAACCTGAAAAATAAAAAATAAATCATGTGAATAATTATCTTGACAATTCAAAACACAAGTCTCTGAAGGACATTGAATCAAAAATCTTTGACTTGCGTTGAAAAGGCGTTGTTTTGCTGATTGCAGCGGATGCCCTTGCAGTTATTTTCCCCCTCTGTTGCATAGTAAAAGTACAGCTGGTTGAGGCCATTGGCAAACGCTAGCAGCACCAGGCAGTAGATGAACAGGAACTTGAGGATGTCCAGAAGCATGCGGCCCAGTGAAATCTGTAGAGGACCCAAGTGGGAGTTGGCAGTGAAGAGACAGATGAGGCGCAGGGAGCTGAAGATGTTGGCGATTGCAAACAAGGCCTCAGCCACCAGAGTTGGGTGCCATGTTTCCCAGATGTCCCTGGATTTTGGTCCATGGTACTGTTCAAAGTGAGAAGATATGCAGATCACGTAAGCAGAGATTCAGCAAAGTTTCAGCAATTTTTCAGCACGTGTTCTTCGTATTATCACAAAGTAAATCTATAAAAAGGACAAAGACACCCACAGTATCAAACACTTAGTTCAAAGACTTGATGTCAAATACCTTTATGTAGGCAACAAACTTGAGAGAAATGGTTGCAAGATACAAAGAGTTCATTATGAAGTCCATTATGTTCCACCAGTCATCCATGTAGTCTTCAAAACCACTGTCCCACATTTGTTTGATTTCAGTCCAAATAAATCCTTGAAGAGATTGATAGAAATAATGTCACTGCAGCACTGCAACTCATCTGAGGCTCCCCAGAATAAAGAAATCAGGGTGCCAATATTTACATATATATATATTTACATTAACTTTTTGTACATTCAAACAGTGAGTCAATGTGACAGTGGGTATTTGTGTGTATTGTTACCAATCACCCAGGGGAGGATCATCCACTCTACTGAGGTGGGCATTGGGCCCTGCATGTCCTGTGATGGAAAGTCTGAGTCTGCAGAGTCAATATGCTGCGAGGCCAAGAAGAGCAGGAAGAGGAAGGTCAGGTAAGAAGCCGTGTGACAGATGAACTTGATGAAGGGCTTACGAATAAATAGTCCATAGCGGCTCTTTGGAGAGATCAAGTAGCAGATGGATAACAATGGAAATAAGAAGCCAATGAAGATGCAGGTGACAAGCTTCCCAGCCCAGTGACGCCTCCTCCATCCCGGGAATTCATCATACCAGCGGGAGGCCAGGAGCTGCTGGCAGTTAGGCTGAGCAACAAACTGATGGACACAGAGAAGAAGAAAAACACAAATAAAACCCCGTTATTCATTGTCAGTCTTCAAAGCATATTTGATAAAGAACAAATCATTCATAACCATGTAAATGATCAGTAGAGTTCTTTGAGAATTTAGTAATAACTCAAAATAACATTTTCTAACTCCAAAAATGTGATCAGTATCACAGTCCAGAAATGTTAACTTGATGGCATTAAAAGGAAATCCAAAATTTGGGACTGAAATTTTCGGTCAATTAATCGTTGAAGATGATCTTCATATTTTCAGCAATGCACATGATAAGCATAACCTGTTACATCACACGAGGTATTAATCATAAGAAACAGATATTAGATCCAAAGCTTATCTAGCAAGCAGTTTTATTTTAAGAAGAAAATCTTTACAGAAGCAACTGGCAAATCTCTTTCTCGCCCTAATTTTCTCTGCCCTGTGAAATTCGATAGAAACATCTGATAGACATTTGCAGATAGAGATGAATGTTAATTTCAGTCTAACAGAGTTACAGCTAAATGGATTACCATAATGGTTTTCAAGTATATATATCATTAAATTTTCGGTGATGAGGTCATATATCAGAATCTAAAATGTCTTCCTTGAAAAATTTTGACAAGCCAAGCAATGACAACATGGAAAAAGGAAGCTCTGGAAGGATTTTTCTCTAAGTAGCCTTTTGAAGGTGATCAACAGGTAGGCTTTTATCACTAAATCTTTTATCAGTCCATTCATGATCCTAAAAAGGTCCCAAGGCCTCCCATTGGTGTCCTTTCTGAATAAAAATGAAAAGGAATATCAAATTTGTGAAGCACAGAGGAAAATTGTTTCTCATCACAAAGTCAGGCTTGGTGATTTTTCTACAGCTAAAGCATCAATTAAATATTTTCTTCCGATTCGACTTGTCCTCCTCTTGTGAGGAAACAGATGGAGGCTGCGTGGTTACGGCAATGTTGAAACTGTCGGCTAAGCATTCCTCGATTAAGTGATTTTTTTCTTTTGAATAGAATTACAGAGATTAGTTGCAATTAAAGTTTGCACTTCCTCTTCCTCAGATTTTTCGAAGGTTTAAAAACAGATCAATTTTCGAAGAAAAAGAAACGAAAAGAAAGCTATCCTGAAAATGGCGTTTAGCATAGTTTCTTTTTTTCTGAGAGTTGGACTGCTGTAAACCCACTTTACAAGCAATGTACAACTGTAAAACACTTATCATTTATGCATTTAGAAGACGCTTATTTCCTTAGAGGCTCATCAGGCTCATTTTGAGGGACATTGTACAATAAACAACCATAGCATAAAGAGTCTGCTGGAAGGAGAGTGCAGATCTGTAAGTTGGTTTAATGCATGTCATGAGTGCAGCAGGAACAAAAGGGAGGGGGGAGACAAAGGAGAAGGAAGTGAAAAATAAGAATATCTAGCGATTACTTTCTTCTCAGAGGAGGTACACTCAGAAAAGACGAGTTTTCCAGAGTTTCTTAAAGGTAGAGAGGGCCACCCCCTGCTCTGGTTATTCCGGAAGAGGTCATTCCACCAATGGAGGACCATGGAGGAGAACCGCCTTGCCAGATGAAGTTCCTTACAGGAAGGTAGGATCCAAGGAGTAAACCAGATCTTTATAAAAGTGTTGAGACGGTGTGGGCTAGCATTAGGGATTTTACTCCAGCAGCAAGCAGCCAGTAGCTCAAGAAACTGAGAGGAAGAAACTGAGGGGGGGATTGAAGGCCAGACGCACGCAAGTTCTAGACATCTGCAATAAGATGGAGGGCCCGTTAGAAGGGCGTTGCAGTAGTCATGGCAAATAATGAGCAAAGGCTGCTCATTAGTTGCCTACTCCTTCTTCTGCTAAGAAGTAGCACATAGCCCAACCGGGCAACAGAAGCCACGTGCTCAGAGAGTGTCAACCAGCCATCAGACAACACCCCAAGAATCTATACGAACTAACAGCTCCCTCAGATACACACACATATATATATATATGTAAAATATGTATATGTAAAATATAAAAATATATAGTATTATAAATATATAATAGGGAAAATATAAAAATGTCAAAAACTCAATTTAATACACATGATAAGTGGCAGGTTTTTTTGCCACTTGTTTTACTTGCTCTGACTTGCTACTGTATCACAATAAATAATACTGTGAACACAAGTTTTATTTCACAACAAATTACACAAAACAGTCAGTGACTGCACAGACCAAAGCAGACTTTTAAGACAGTAAAAGGCTTCTTCCCTAATTAAAATATTATGAGTTAGTATTATAGGGAAATGGCCATTACTTCTTCCTTCATTATCCCCAATTATCTAATCATCATGGGACTGTCTAAGAGGTCCACTGTAATGCGTTGCTAAAAGCCAGCCTGGCAATTACATGTTGTTGTGGAGTCCCAAAGGACGTCTCCACCCATCTCTGGCCATTTACAGCTCATTTTTGTGATTTTCTTGTCATTCAGTCCATGTTGTTTACATCATGTAATACTAACTCACCCTGTTTTTCAGTTGTAAATTGGAGACTTTCCATTTTAAGGTACAGTTGCTACCTTGACAAATTATTTTGATTTGTTAAGTGTTTTTACATTGTCATTGTGAGCGTATCAATAAAAAAAGCCACACTGCTAAAGGCTGGGCCCTTCATAACCAACAAAAGGCTTACCTCTTTTTGACAATATTTGATGGCCAGCTTCAGCCGGGCCAGGTCGTTAGTGTTCTCATCAAGCAGAGGGTTGATGTCATCGCGGTAGTTGAGGATTATTTCCAGTTCCTTGGAGCTTCTGGTCTGGTCCAACAGGTCCTTCGCAAACTGTTTACACATGCGTGACAGTTCCTCGTACTCTGCCTTGAACTCATTCTCCACTGTGCTGAGCTCCTTCAGCTCCCAGCTGAGCTGAAACGCGGTGAGGAAGGGGTCCTCGCTGGAGAGGGCGATGAGGGACGGGCTGGCCAGGGCCTTGTAGATGTTCAGACGCGAGCGCGAGTGGCGCAGGCTGTCCACGTCTGAGCTGGACACACACTCCACACAGTTGCACCGCACAGCGTGCGGCTGGGGTATGGAAACACCTCGCTGCAGGAGAAGCTTGATGACCTCATAGTTGTTGGTGTGAGCTGCAAGAATGATTGGAGTAATGTCGGGTGTGAAGTCTGAAAACTGTTTGTCCAGTAAAATTGGCGGAACCTTATCAGAGAGCCAAAAACACAAATTAATAGACATGAAATATACAACAATTGCAATACACAAGTATTCAATATGATTGTGCACACATTGTACATTGCTTTAAAACTCCATTGAGTAACACAACTTATATAATCAATCTAATATTTAAGACATCGACTAATCTAATCTGTCTTCTGACTCTGTCTTGTCTAACAGCCAGCGCAAAACTAATGGCTTGTGGTTCAAGTGGCCTCAGAATATCTTCTGGGCTTGAAGCAACAACGTTCTTTTTCACTTCCCTTTGCAAAATACTAATTTACCGAGAGACCGAGCTGCTTATAAAACCATTTCACCACAGTTCTTAGAGTGCTTGATTCAAAGTGTGGCGAAGGAAATCTTGCCGAACATGGAGCAGAAATACTCATCAGTTCTGCATTTACTTAAACTGTCTCCCAAAAATAATACTTGTATAAAAGGACCTTTTTTCAACCCCCCCCCTTTAGAAAACCTAACCAAATCATTAGTGATAAAAATCTTCCGTTGAAGCCAGGTTAGTAAATTGTGCCATAAAATTGATTTAAATTCCTCGTGATGTCCTTGTAGTTTAATACTTGCTGTCTGTTTAGAGTTGTGGCGAATGAAAAAAAATCTAATTTCTAAAATGTTTTTGCTCTAAACTCAGGAGTGATGGAGTCCAGAGAAGATGAGTGGCGTCGGGAAAAGGTTACCAGCAACATCACTGGAATCACATGAGTAATTACTATCTACTGATATGGAAATGAATGACTGAAACTAACTGATAGCATCTGTTGATCTTATACTGTTGTGCTGTACACTCTTATCTTTCCCTGGCATGCACATGCGTGCATTTAGGTTTTACACAAATCATCAGTGAACTTGAAATTGACTAGAAGCAAGTTTAAAACCAATGTTTCTGGGTCCAGAGGCAGGAAACATCAGGCCTATTTGTTTGTGTGTAATATTGTTGTTCTGGTCACTTACCTGTTTTTCCCCACGTGGCCTCTTGTGGTTGAGCAGCAGCTCCACTGCCCCCACCACTTCCTTGCGGATAGCGTGGAGCAGGGCATCACCCACGTACACATTATAGCTGAGGAGCAGCTCTATGATCTCTAGATTCTCGTTCTCGATGGCGATGAGGAGGGCCGTGCGTCCCAGGGAATCGATGCAGTTGATGTTGATCCTGAAGTAGATCTCAGCCTCCTCCAGCGCCTGCTTCACACTGGCATAGTCCCCCCTCTCAACAGCCCCTAAGTAGGCTTTCTCCATGGCAGAGAGCTCAGGCTCTGCCCGCACAATCCGCAGGGGGATGCGATCCCTGTATGAGGAACTGTCAGTTTTCCGGTAATATAACTGTGACATTGCTGCTACAGTATCTCAGAGCCAACTGAGAGTTGCTGGGAAATGAAAAAAGAAAGAAATATGACTTGGTCAAGTTTCATCATCGGCCTTAAATATTAAGAAACAGAGAGCCAACCATTGGGCCAATTCAAACAATATGAGTATAAAAAAAAACAAAAAAGAAAAATGTGTCAACGTTTACAGTATCTGAAAGCATGCATTTATTTAGCTGTTAATAAGGTTCCTGTAAATATTAAATATTCATTCAACTTAGGCTGAAACTTGACTAAAAGTTTAGATCCACTTCGAGCAGTTTTCATTACACAAAAAGGATGATCATATTGTGTAATTTATTAACAATAAAAGACAGAAACTTCACCGTTACCTTCTGAGAGTGAACTACATGAACCACTCGGCACAGAACTGTTGCGCTGCGGCTGTTGCGGAGAGAAGTTGCGAAGATCCACTTTTCATTCCAAAAAAGATCCTAAAAGCCACCGCGACACGTGTCCCCGGCCACCGGACTACGTTTTTACTGTAGTGGAAATAAGTGCCAAACACACGCGTCGAGTCTAACTGAAGTTGGAACGGCACATGCGTCCTCCCTCCCAGAGACTGCGCACTGGCACCACCGCCCAGCTTTACGCGTGCACTCTGCTCCGGGCTCCAACATGTGACCACCAAAGACGATTTTCTTTCGATTCCTTGTGTTGTATGGACAATAATATATAACTTATTTTGTCGGTTTGCATCAGATTTTATTCCTGCGGAAAATGCATGTCTTTTAAGATTCTATCCTAAAAGTGCCAGATACAGCTGATTTAATTACGACACAATATTAGATCCTAAAGACACCATATAACTTCACGAAGTAAATTCAATTAATTTATTAGTTGTTCTCTGCCATTTATACTGTTATGCCTCCCATCTCTCTATTTTTTAAAATATTATCGGTGGGATATTAGGGTTTTAAGTAGACATTGCAGCATTGGATTGTGTGTTTTGAATTGTGTTTTGAGGTAATTTAACTTATCATTTGGCTTATTTTGAAGTTCAATATCTGGGTCTATTCTGGATCAAAAACACACAGCTGAGATTATGTTGTAACATCTGAAGTATTACAGTTGATTTATTTATGTATGTATCATAAGTGATTTTCTCTGAATAAGCTAACCACTAAAAACACTTTTACCACTACAAAGCCATATGTACCCATCAAACACACGTGCACCCATCAATACATCAGATCTTTGTGTTGGAATAATACAGGCTACACTGCCCACATTAATAGTCCTATGGATGCACTTGAGGGGTGGGAACAGCACCATCATGCAACAGGAGGGAGAGTTATGGCCTTAGAAACCTTACTGTGTGGTCTGTGAAAGCCTGGAGGGAAGTGCCCTTCCCTCAGAGCCACAACCACACCAAAGGCAACACAATGTACACTATTTGTATTTCAGTTTAAAAATTTGTTGGTCCCAAGGATCACCTCAATATATTTTTACCTTTAGAGGACAAAATAGAACGGTCGTGATAAAGTAGACGTGTCCACAGCAATGTGTCAAAGTTGCTTTTTCCCCAATTTTATCCTGTATCCTTACCTCAATTTCTCTAATTATGATATATCCTTTGAACATTGTGTGTGCCAGTGAGAATGTAAACAAATAAAACACAATTTCCTCAGAACTATTGTTCTGTACAACATGACAGGGTGTGATTAAAACTGTGGCTGTGCTGTGCTCGTGTCGTGCGATAGGGAAGCACAAGATATTAATGGGAATACATTGTATGCTCACTTATTTTCCAGATAGAGCTGGATTTACTCATTTCTAAATCCCTGTGGAAATGCCCCTGTCTCAGTATAACGCAGCAGCAACATTTTTCATCTTAGGAAAAATGGCAACTTCATTAAATATGAAGTTTACACATACGGACATACGGAAGTTTGGTAACAAAAATGAATAAATAAAGAAGTTTTGGGTAATCAAGGGGGGCTTCTAACTAACAAAGCCTCCCTTGGCAAAGCAATTTTGCTCAGCATTGCACGGTACGCAGATGTCAGTTCTACTACCATAATGCTGAACAGGACAAGGGGGGAAAAAAAAAAAAAAAAATATGAAGTTTACAGATTACAACTCTGCTAATGGTCAAAAGGATAAAATAGGGATTTTTTTATTCCCGATTGCAACTGCATAATTTGTCCATCTTTTGTGGCTCACATTAATGATATAATGACTGTTGGTCTACATCTATAGGTAGGCTTCCATCGTTTTTATCATTAGGTGTATACTATCAGCAGTCCAGGCCACTTATAAAAACTATTTTGGGCATAGATTAGTGGCCCATGAATTTAAGAGGAATTAAACTATTATTATCTATTATCTATTTAATTACATTACAACCCTAGTGCACAGGTCATGCATCCCGTGGTGCAGCCCGGCTTAAATGTTAAGTTCTTGGTCAAAAGTCAGTGTTGTTCTGCACAAACTGTCCTTTATGATGCACGGGTGGACCTGACATATTAAAGTAAATGTTTTATTTTATATCGGAGATCATTTATTCATCAGGTATTCTCGCCATTTCAGTTTTCTTTTACAGTTGAATTGAGTGGAATTGAGAGTTTTTCTAGATTTACTGCTGCACAAGATGCACGAGGGAAAATTAAACTAGATTTATCCAAATTGTAAACACAAAGTCAAAACGCTAAATCATTCAAACCAAAAGTTCCAGCTCATGCAGTGATTCGATGCCCTTCAGAATGACGCTGGGGAGGGAACAGTGATCTGGCCGGGCTAACATGAAAGCTATGGACACTATGAACGTTTGCCATAAATGCACTCTTCCAACAATGCAAACAATAAGTCATGTGATTCTGGCTCCTAGCCACAGGGATGAAACAAACACTGATGCATGAAGACAATCACACACACAGTCTTGTTAAATGATACCTGACTAAATGACAGGATTCAGTGAGACCTAACAAAACTATTTACCCATTGGCTGTGTCGTAGATTTCCTCAAGAAAAGCCCAGAACTGGATCCCTTCACTCTAACCATTCATCTCCATTCAGTCTGCAGCCTTAAGTGGTTTCAAAAGAATCCTTTTTTCTGTTCAAACTCTAATTGCTTTCTCTGGAGTACTGATGAGTCTCATAATCGGCCTGTGATTTTCTCGCTTATTTTTATACAATCTTTTTCTGTGGTTTCCTCAGCTACTTGGTTGAAAGTGGCACAACAGGAAAGGGGGCAGAGGCAGAGATACACATTAAGGGGCCGAGCACCATAATCAACCCCAGGCCACCTGCACAGAACACAGAGCCTCCACACACAGGCCAGCCCTCAACCCGCCCAGACAAATGCTCCAGCATTCTGCTGAGGTTAAGTGACCAAATGTAATGTAAAAGACTTGTAATCATCTTGGATTGTAATAATAGTGACTATCGCCTCCATCATTACAGTCATTATGTCTGTATTTTCTGTCTCTTTCTTTTTTTGGGGGTTTAAATTGTCACCCGATTACAAACATATGTTTCAGTGTAATGCAAACACAAACCCTAGCTTTGAGGATTAAAGGATTTCCAAATGTTTCCTTGTTTAATTTCCTTGCTGGGTTGGGATTATGTAGCTGTCCGGGTAAAGAGCTACACAGGTGGATGTTAAGTTGCTATGGCTGTGCCATCAACCTTCCATGAAATTAGTTACTCTGAATGCTCTCTTTAGTAAACTTGAGTGATTATTTCTTTATATATTAGTATCTATTCATTTAGTATGACCCTGCTTGGATACTAAGTATGTTTTTTATTTTGATCTATTTAAGTCAAATTACAGCAGAGCCAAATAGAGAAACCCCTGTGCGTTTTGGTCCAGTGGAACAAAGAAGTGAGTTTTACAGGATGAAAAGCTGCTATCATATTAAAAACATTTGCAATTTCAGACTTTCAGAACCAAGCAGACTCTATGAGCCAGATTAAAAATAAAAATACTGTCATCGCTCTGAAAACATGGGACAATATCATGACTTTATTCGTACTAACCAGTTTCCACTTAATCACTTAAAGTTAAATGAAATGAAATGATGATTTTTTTTAATAGAAAAATCCACAGTGATTGGCCCATCTATTTATTTATGATTACATCTGCTAGAAATGTCAGCGTTTAATCACTGTAGCTGCACTGCAAGTAAACACTAAACTAATTTGCCACTAGATGGCACAAAGAGATTTAACTCTTCGACTAATCCTGCTCAGACTCCTCTCGTGCACGTTTGAAGGCTATAAGACAGTTGTTCATTTATTATCATCTGCAACGTCTACTAAATGCTCTTATATATATACTAAAGGGATTCAATCATCTTAGGAGTCTAACTTTGATGAAAGAATTCTCTAATAAATGATTCACATGATAGTGAACAATATGTGATGTACATACGCATGCACACACATATTTATTAGCAGGAGAAAAATTAAATAAATGAATCGGTAGCCTTTTGAAGCTCTGCTATGAGTATTACACATCCTTGGTTTGGCTTTACAGGGATTTATTGACCTTTGCTTGTGTCTGTGGAACTCATTTGGCAATGCAGTCCAGCTCTGTATCAATTAGATGGAGAGTGTATCAGCCAGGTTTTAGCTGTTTTTCTAAAAATAGACATTGATTCAACGGCCAAGGCACCAGCAGAATTTCAAAGCCATTAGATAAGGAGTGGAACTAATTAGGCCTGTCAGAGTCTTAAGAGTCTTAAAATGGTGAAGAACACATCCACTGAATGCAAATTTAAACTATTTTTTTTATGATACTAATATAACCACTTTAGATCTGATTAGCATTAAGTACAAATACAACAGTTACAGAGGATATCTGAATGTAATGGTTAATCATAATTATGTTTAAATTACGCATTCATTTTTCTGCCCATGTGTTACTCTTTTTGCAACAATCCTTAAGACTATTTTTTGGTTTCATTTTCAACTTTAAAAAAAAACTTTTGCCATAATACACTGCTGATGCAAAAATCCTACAGACATCACATTAGACAGTTTGTACTGTGGCAGATCAG